TTCATCGTATGTCGGTCTTTGTTTCGATCTCACTAACTTTCARTAGATTTTGTGTATAACTGAATGTGTTTTATTTTTATTTTTTTAATATTTTTTAAATAACATGTCATTAAATTATTTTAAATTAAAAAAGTGCACTACATTTAAAAATTTTGAATGGTACGGTGTGCGTGGCCACAGGTGTAGTTAATGAAAAGTCAACGTATGTACTTAAACAAGATTGTCTTCGATGGCTGTCTCGTCTATGAATGTTTAGAGTCATCCATTATACCAATTATTTTAAATAAAGTAAATTATGGTTAAATTAAGCTAAATTTTAATTAAAATAACCAAATGGAGGAAAATAAATAAAGATAGTACAGTTGAACTTCCATAACTTCGAATTTTATGGGGATTCGAGTTAGGGAAGTTCAACTGTATATAAGAAATATATGTATGCATAGCTAAGAAAGTTATTTCCTCAATGGATTATGATTAACTACATTCGACATTTTGAAAATTTTATAATCACCGAAACAGTGTTGCGAATTTTAATTAAAAAATTTCGGATTATTTATTTACGCTATTTAGGATTACAATTTTTATGTTTAATCATCAATCTGATTTTTAGAATAAAAGATTATTTTAATTTTTAAATCTGGTATTTGGCATATTGGGCCCACATAAATAAAAAAAAATGTATTAAAAAATAATTCAAAGGTCTGTTTAATGTATTTTCTGCAATCCTGGTTATAAGCTAATTTTCCTATAGATAAACATACTTGTACTATTATGTATTAGTATTATTATTTAATAAATATTTCTATCATACTTTTTTTTAACATAATTTCCCCTTTATCTGAAAAGACCATATATGTAGATTGTGACAAAAAAGTGCCCGGAAATTGTAAATAATACGCAAAATTTTGAATTACTCATAAACCTTTTCGCCTTCAAAGTAATGCCCACCAGATTTAATAAATACACTTATGCCAACGATTTTTCTAGTCCTCGAAACACTTTTTGGGATGGCTTTCAGCTAATTTTGTTTTATCTTGATATAAAAAATTGAAGTTTTATTTCTTAATACCGATGTTGTTATTAAAAAGTCGTTTTTCAATTTTGGAAATTTGCGTAAAAAAATCGCAACCCTGCTTATGGGCCTGTGTAAAAAATTTTAAATACTTTATCTTTATTTAAATTTTATACATTTGTATACATATTTTTTATGGCACATTTTATAATTTAAGTCAATCCATAAAAAATACAATAAAATAATAAAAGAAAAGAAAGAATTTCAAAGCCGCAGTTTCTAAATAATTATGATTCTCGAAAAATTAAATGTCAGTGATATTATTTATTTTTGTAAAATTGAGCTGTGATATTGTGATCTTGGACAGGCATAGTTATTTTGCTGCTGTTTGCAAAACACGATGATTGTTAGTTGAATCGATTTTATCTATTAACTTTTACCAATATTCCCTGTACAATCACCAATTATATGGAGCAAAGTCAGCCAGATATTCGAAAATTCTGATATGATGATTCTGATGGTTTCTGTCTGAATTCCAATTGTATTGACAGATATTATAGTTTCGGTCAAAAGTCGACTATAGATACTGGGCTCCACATATTCTGTATCTAGGAGTTTGAATAGTTTTGTTTAGAATTGCAGAATTTTTGATCATAAAGTGGGATTCTTTATATTAATTATTAGTTGAAAATCTCATCGCGTTATATTAATACGTTCTTGATTTGTATACTGGTGGGCGATGCCATGTTCACCGTCCTATTTTCACGTGCTCAATTACAATTTTATTTCCTAATTTAGTGCTTAACTTTATAAGGGACACATTAAGTTTGCTACGAAGTTTTTAACACCCAGATCCTATAAAGTAAATATGAGTATAAATGAACAGCGCGAAGAGCTGAGTAGTCTGTCTCTCCGTCTTTATGTAAGCGAACTAGTCCCTCAGTTAGTGAGAAATTTGGCACATGGCACAGCCGATATCGAAAGAGTATAGGCTATAGTTATCCTACAAACTGCACGAAAACTTTTTCATTATCGAGATATATTCAAGAAATTGGACATATAATATTGGTTAAAACAATACCACAATCTCCGAACTGTTCAGATCGGACAGCTATAGCATGTCGTTGCTATTCAGATTGACCGACCAACATCAAGAAACTGATCTTTATTTTAAAAGTAACGTGTCTAAAGTTTTGTTGATAATGAGATATATGTTTCAATGTCAAAGTCAGGTGGAAATATGAGAATGGTACGTTGTTCTATCTAGTGTGATATTGTGTACTAGTAAAATTTGATAATTGGTATCGAATTTGGTTGCATGTTTTGTTAGTGGTCAGAAAAGTGATCCTTCAAATTCCTAAAAGTATTTCAAAACTAAATATTGAACTTAATAGATTTTGAAAAAGTGCTTCGTTTATGAAACTCTCACATAAACTTTTGAAAAGTTTTTGAAATCACTCAAAAAAAGTATTTTGATATTATCGCTTAAAAACTGGTAACATTTTCACACATCACTAATCATTATTTGAAAAAAAAAAAAAAATGAGATTCACGGAGAGACTTTCTGCAGTTTTGACACCGGAATGGCGCAGTCAGTACATCAACTACGAGGTCAGTAACAGCTGAACATAATAGACTATCCCATAATAGCCTAAATTCTAGCAATTGAAAGAAATGCTCTTAATAGCTGTTGACAATGCGCCCACCGATCAATCAGAGCTACGTGCCATACAGTCATATCTAGCAGTTTTCGATGATAAATTCTTCGATCGCTGCGACATGGAACTGCAAAAGGTCAATACATTCTTTGCTGCAAAGTTAGCTGAAGCAAAGCGCAAGCACGTGGCCTTAATCAGTGAAGTGAAGAGATCGCTAAATGATGCCGAGCAACGTGGCCGTGTCTCAGTACCAGATCTCTTAACGGTGCTATCGAAGAAGAAGAAAAGAGAATATCGCTTCGSCTTTAGTGAGTTGTATCTTAGCCTAGTGCTGCTACAGAACTATCAATCGTTGAATCACACAGGTTTTAGAAAGATTTTAAAGAAGCACGATAAGGTCTGTACGAGTTTGTAAATAATACTATTGTATATCGAATTCATAACTATTCGCGCCACGTCCACTTTCAGTTACTGCGCAATACGAAAGGCAAGGAGTGGTTTCAATCAAATGTAGATACCGCATTCTTCTTCACCAATCGTGAGATAATGAATTTAATACACGACACCGAGAATGTTGTAACCAACTATTTGGAGAATGGTGATCGGCAGCGTGCCATGAAGCGTTTACGTGTACCACCGCTTGAGGATGTACACCATCCTTGGACCTCATTCCGTGTTGGGCTTTATTTGGGCGCCCTAGTGGTATTATTCTCAGCACTGGGCATATCACGTGAGCGTTTATGTGCATCCAACGTAGTGTGCTACTCACCAGCAAATTACTTTCAGTCTATATGACGGATTTGGATGCGACAAATTTGGAAGCCTGTATTCGGCTCTTTCGTGCGCCCTACTCCATATCTATTTACCTTGTTTTAATTAGCGTTAATATATATGGTTGGCGCAAAGTTGGTGTTAATCACGTGCTCATTTTCGAATTGGATCCACGTCAGTATCTGACTGCAGCGCATGTCATGGAAATGGCTGTCGCCTTAGCGGTACTCATTACGATTGCCATGATTGCATTCATACATTCGTCATATTTGCATACGCCACGCTTTGTCTTCCCCTTGGCATTGCTCGTCACAATGGTTGCGCTTCTTGTAAATCCTTTACCGATTTTAAATTATTCTGCACGCATATGGTTTCTAAAAGTCATGGTATCCATTGAATTTAGCATTAATAACATCTTTCGCATATCTCAAAGCCTTTATCCACCACTAGGGTCGCGTTATATGTGCCCCATTTTTCCATGTGGGTTTCGCTGAATTTTGGTTGGGCGATCAGCTGAACTCTCTCGCTTATTGTCTGGCGGATTATGCATATACGGTCTGTTTTTATTGCATCAATTTCGATTTGAACAATGCTTCTGACCCGCCTGCGTGTTTGGCGCGGAATCAGCTACTTTTCCCTATAGTTTTGGTACTTCCTGCTTGGTTTCGTTTCGCGCAGTGTTTAAGGCGCTATCATGACACCCGCAAAGTTTTCCCCTTCATCGTGAATGCGGGCAAATATTCGATGTCATTTCTAGTGGCATTGTTCGGTTATCTCATGGCTGGCACTCGACGTAAGTACAAGGAGATAGCGTCAAGTATGCTCTTGTTTTCATCAAATTTTGGCCTTTTTAGACTCTTATGAATATTTCTTTGACAACCCCTTTGTGTGGTTCTTTATAATATCGAACGTCATGCAAACTGTTTATACTCTCGTTTGGGATATGATTATGGATTTTGGTGTGTTCAAGAAATTTAGTGGAGAAAATATTTTTCTGCGTGATCAAATACTTTATCCGGCGGTGAGTGTTAGAAATATACTTGTTAAATGTTCACTGAATAATATTAAACAAAAGTTCGCATGTAACCGAACATTTTACGCTCTTGCAAACTTGCCGGGTTCAAAGCCAGGAATGCATAGGATCTGTAGGTTATACGACAAGTTTTCATCCAGTTTTATCCATATTATTAGATAAATTCGCTCCCTTAATTTTATTAAAATAACTCACATATTTGCCAATAGAAGTTGGAAAACCTTTTTATAAGGGGTATATGGGGGCTAAATAACTTTTTGGTCAAATTAACCCATTTTTAACATAAAGGCATAATACGGATATTATTAGAAAAGGACTCTCTCCGAATTGAAACAATATATCTCACATATTGATCGATTTTTTCGTTAAAAAGTTCGCAAATGAAACTTTGATCCACATATTCGAAATCGTGGGATTTCAATAGTGTTAGTGCGATTTGGACAATTTTTGGTCATAGAGCAGTCGTCAGGCAAAGTTTTATCCCGATACATTGATGCTTGATTTGCTACTAACTGAAGGTATCAGTTAGAATTAAACATTTGGTTATATGGCAACTAGGTGTTGTTGTAGTTCGATTTCCTCCCCTTTTCACCGTAACACAGACGCGTCAAGGTAACATTATCTTTAAACCAAATTTGATCGATATCGGTATATGGCTTTACACCGAAATGCAGGCGTTCCATTTTTGACCCTGGCTTCTTTAAAGTTCACTGATTTATCGCTCTTTTAGTAATTTTTAACGAAACCGTTATGTGGCGTGTGGGCGGCGTTACTGAGCGAAATTGGTTATTACAGCTTGAATATTATTATGGCTTGAATGTTATATACCACATCTGGTTGGAATTGGTAGAGCAGGTTCCGAGGTATGTGATTCCACCTAAATAATCTCTCTCATAAATTACAATTTTATGTCTCTGTTGTACTTATGTATTAAATTTTAGTAGTTTTTACCAATACCTTTATATGGGGAACGGGCGGGGTTATCCGATTTCATCAATTTTGATAGTGTCTCGAACGAGTTTGGTTATTAGAGCTTAAGTGGCTTAGGCGATAAGTGCATTAAATCAATTAAAGGGTGGAGCCACTCCCTTTTTTAATTTTTACAGCTCAGATGACTTTTGTTTCTTGTTACTGCAATCTCCTGTACCAAGTTCCAGTTTCGTTTACATTTTATTGGGTCGAGGACCTTTTTGTATGTCAAGAACCTTTGTTTACATTTAGGTTCAGTGAGCCTTTTGTTTACATTTTATCAGGTCATTGACCCTTTTGTTTAAATTTTCTGACATCAATGGCCCTTGTTAACATTTAGCCAAGTCAACACCCTAATTTATATTTAGCAATGTTAAGAACTTTTGTTTACATTTTATGAGGTCAATGGCCCTTATGTTTACATATAGCCAAGTCTGCAACTTTTGTTTACATTTAGCTAGGTCAAGAAACTTTGTCTACATTGGGGGTTAGTGGCCTGTGTTTTAGTCCACAGTCTTCACATTTAGCAGAGGCCAATGAGCCCGTTTGTTTACATTTTATTTATCTTTAGCCAAGTCTTTGGTCCTTCGGGATGTGAGGTTAGTACATCTAATCCAACTAACTCTGTCAAGTACTGTATTTCGAGAAAATCTTGAAAGTTTGAAGGAATTTTAAACTTTTTTTAGCACATTATACTTAATTAAAACTAATTGCATTAATTTTAAAAACGTTGTATTTTAGGGCTTCTATTACTTTGCCATAATTGAGAACTTTTTTTCTCGAATATTTTGGGCTCTTAAGCTGTACATATACCAGCAGGGTTATATGACTGTTTTCCATAGCAATTCTATAGCCAGTGGATTGGAAATGTTTAGGTAATTTCACACTATATATACCGAGAAAATACCTACTGTATATATGTAAACATTTCTTTAGACGTTATATATGGAATTACTTCCGTTTGGAGAATGAACATCTTTTCAATGCCGGAAAATTTCGTGCTGTGCGCGATATATTTGTAGCGCCAATTGATCCAGACGATGAAATCCAATTGCAACGCATAATGGATGAGCTCGATGGCACAACCAATCGATCTTCAGGTGAAAATGGTAACGTCATTGACATGAAGGAGGATTAAATGAGAAGAAGAGAGTAGCTATGAGCTCGATGGCACAACCAATCGATCTTCAGGTGAAAATGGTAACGTCATTGACATGAAGGAGGATTAAATGAGAAGAAGAGAGTAGCTACCAAAGAGCAAGGGAGATAAAAACCGTTTAAATCCTTTAAAGCGGAAGTAAACCAATTCTTCTTAATGTTCACCATATTTTGTTCCTAATAAATACGAAAATATTATTCGCTTAAGTTTTTTTTTATTTAAAATAATGAAATCATATGATAATCAACATAGTATATTCATGAAATATTATCTGCAACGCCCGAAACCAATGCGGTGCCGCGTAATATCCAGAAATCAGGTGGACTACGGCTCTCCAATAATATGGAGAGTATAAAATTGGTAGAATGGCCAGTTGTTGAGAGTACACCAGAACGTGCTTGGGTCTTATAGAGTGGCGCATCATAACGATCACCTGGTGTTAGGGACAAGCAGGGTATAAACCGTACAACTGGTAAGCGGCTAAAGAGTTCGCCATGTTCGGCATCCCAGAGTCCACCCTTTTGCGAGTCCCAACGTGCTGCCTCAATAAATATACCATGCACATTGACGCCAGCTTCAGTCGATTCAGGTAGCGAGCCATAAAGCGCCTCGAACTAAGACAGAGAATTATTAGATCAAAGAAATTTTTCAAAATTCGTATATTTTTAGATATCTTTAGACCCACATCCTTTCCGCTAACGCGGCGCTCAAACACCGCCTGTTGTATGATAACCAAATCGAAGACTTTAAAGTCGATCTTCAGCGAATCAATGGGCAGCACACGTTTACGCGCATGCGTCTGCAGTAAACCAGTGAGAAAAGATTGTGGAAAGTAGAAACCGCTAATCCAATATGAACGTGGTCCACCATTACGTGCCCAATTTTGTATGAATTCAATGCGACGCTGAAAATCTGTGATATAATTTGGTAGTGGCTTGATGGAGAGAAAGCTTTTCTTAGCCCATAGATTGGGCACTACATTGGTGAGCAGAGCCTTGAAAACTTCCTCCAATTGTTCGGACATCACGACAAGACCTTTAATAGCTTTAGCGAGATTTATGAGACTGTCGTGTACTACTTTCAAGCTAATATTATAACGATCGATCTCTTGCACCAACACCGTAGTCAGCGAGGGTAGTTGACCCTTGGCGTCCAACTGAAATGTTTGAAAAGAAAATTTGTAGTATTGGAAAATGTTTTGTTGTATGGGGTTTAAAATATAGCACTGATAAATTTTAAAAATTAATTATCTTTCTTCTTGTTTCTTCTAAAAACTAACTTACTACTGTCAGCGACTCGTGTAGTTCATCACGCTTTATCTTTGTTAGGAGCACGCCTTGTATATAACGAATGACATCCAACGCCGTCTCATTCTCCTCAGCCTGTCCTTCGTCTGCCGCTGCGCGTGGCTGTCCTAACAACAGTGTGCTAATAAAAAAATTCGTTTCCTTCGTCTGAAATACGATATTTGCATTTTGATTCATGCCAAAGATCTCGGGATCCTCAATAGTTGGAAAGTTCTGTACATAATGTATATATTCGTCAACGGTAAATCTTTGCGGATCACAATAGTAGGGATCACCACGCGAGTATTTGTAGCCTGGTTCGATAATTCTCGGTGACGAGAATGTTTTCAATACTGTTTTCAGACAACGTTGATCCCAATAGTCGGTCACACGTCCACCCCATGTGATTTCGCCATTTATATAAAATATTGCATCCCACGGTATTTCGTCCACTTTCTGACGATTTATGAAAAACTCCAATGTTTTCAGACCACAATCACGATCACTTTCATTGAATTCGTACATAATATTCCAGCCGAGTGGACCGAATTTGCGACGCTCCAAGATGACCGCATGAAACATACAGAGACCGAAGACGATAGCACGCCACTTCTCATGTAGCGCATGCTTTTCGAAGAAAGTTCTTTCCAAATCGTTGAGTGCACCTAAAACGTTGGCTTTAATACCTTTGGGCGGCTCATTTGTTAGTTTTACTGAGTTTTGTAGCACGCTGATAGGAAAGCTCTTTGTTGGCATAGACGAGAGGAATAAACGGAAATCGTCATGCGCCTTGCTTATGCCCAAAGTGATGTTGCGTACAATAGTTTCCATCTGACGCATCCATGATGTAGCCAAATGGCAGTTCTGCAAGAATACCCAATGACCTAGACGTAGGCTCTTCTCAATCAAACTCTCGGCAATGGGTCCTTGTCCTTGACCCAGCGAGATTGAATAGAATTTATCCATGTACTTCATTTCATCGGCAAACTTGAGGAAAGCAGCCATCGGATCGGAGCCGGTAGAGAGTACGAAGACCATAGGTGTGACGCTATTGGTATCTGCAAAACTAAGAAAGCAGAAAATTTAAACCATTTCGGGTCATCAGTTTTAAACACGTTACATACACAGTTTTCAGTTGACTGCCAGCCGCAGACGTTTCCGTGAAGTATTTACCAACGGTGGCCGTTAAGTAGAGTACAACGTGTAGCAGAAAGCGCTCGCGTCGGAAAACGCGTATAAACATTAGCTTGTGAAAAATTGTTAAACGTTTGTTCCACATATCGACTGGTGGTTCTCTTGAGGTGGTGAAGTTGAAAACCTGTAACGGAGTCTATCACTTCAGTAGACTAGCATCAATATAACTAAATCTCACCTCCTTGGTATTGAGTATTTCCAGATAGAAAGGCTTACTTAGCGCCATCGGAAAGCCTTTAAAAAATGCTGGCAATTCTTCTTCCAAAAATAGGCAAGTTTCCCAGTCTTCATCTGTTAGTGAAATATTGCTTGGCTTCTCTTTATAAGGCACGGCGCCCACACGACCGCGTGTCAGAAAATTCATGTCGGTTTGTGTTATACGACCCTCTTGTTTTTCGATTGCCGTCGCTAACAGAAAACTAAATATAATCTTATGATTCTCGAAGAGGCCACGTGAAACATTTTCGAAAATCGCCTTCAACTCATCCAATTTTAATTGATTTATGCGTTCTTCAATTGTTTGTTTCGGATGATCTAAACGTATGACATTGCAGAACACTTGCGAGAAGTACTTTAAGCTATACTGATACATAGGATCAACATCAGCCAAACCGGCAACTACAAAGTAAAGTATGGCGCCACGTGAAGCTAGCGAGCGGTACTTTTCGCGTGTGGCCGTAATGACTTTCTCCGTTTCTTCGGTGTCGATGAGCCGAGTGGCAATAATTAATGAAGTTTCCTGAAAGCGTTAGTGTTAGAGGAGTGTCTATATAAGGAGAAGTTTCTATATAAGAGGGAGCGTGAATAGGCACTTACCTTGGCATCATTGAGTGTTTCAACGAGCTCCTCGTCATCCAAAATATTTCCTTGTGAGTTGTAGAGCAATTTGAGTACCTTATCCTCCAAAGCCAATAACTGTTGCTTGTCTGTGTTGATTTTGACAATGAGATCATTACGCTGAATTTCCATAGCCGGTAGTTCAATGGCCACGATGTCACTTCAATATTAAAAGAAAAGGGAAGGAAGGTTAGAAAATGATAAGTTTAAGATGGACCGTAGGAAATTTGGCATGTACTATTTTTCGATGCAAAATTAGGGAATGTATTTTTTGGGGCTAAATTTGTATGATAACCTACGGATGTGTTACTCTTTACACCAACTTTTATATTCCCGAGATTATTGCCTGATTTTCTATCTGAGTTGGTTTTAATAATAAACGGGTTTTGAAGCAAGGTGAATCGGCCTTTTACTTTGTAGATTTTCTCGATTCCAAAGCTTATTTAAGAACCTAAAAATCGACATGTTTTTTTGTGGAAAAAGTGTTCGGTAACTACTATTAATTGACTGGAAATTTGCCACGAATATTTATAGTTTAAGTTTAAATCGCAAAACTTGAAGAATTCTTTGAAAAATAATATCCAGAGGTCACTTTTGAATACCTGTGTAAAAACGAGAATTTTAAAAATTCTCTAAACCTAGTCAATCCTAAGGGACGCACAAGGAAGTGCCAAAACTTCTATGAACTTACGCCAGCAGTTGATCCTCCAAACCACTTTCTGTTACCAAGAAGTTCACCAACGTAACATTAATACAAATCTCGGGTAAATAATGGGGGTTCGCTAATTTCGTAGTCATGTAAAGCTTGAAATGTGGATCGTAATCGATGACTACATCGCCCAACTTCAAATAGACGCGTCCCTCATGTACATAGGTCTCGCGTTGCAGTATTGGACGTATCGATGGATCAATATTTTCGTCAATATCTTCAAGCAACACCGGAAATCCTTGACGCACAGCATTTTCCAAGGTACGCAGTAAAGTGCCGTCAGTCATTTTGCATACTATAAGGCCGTTTGCCTTTTCCATATTGCGTATCCAGCGATTAGCCTGCAATTGATGCATGAAGTCACAATCTTGAGCAAATATTTTTAAGAGAATTATTGTGCACCTGCTCTTGTGGATCGATCATAAGCGGCCAGCGTAGTGCACGTGTAGCGTAGAGACCGTTCTCAATTGAAACTGTATCTTTGGGTAAGCCATCCATGGTCCATTGACGCATTTCGTAGGGATCGCCGAGTACTTTGAGTAGAAAGAATTCACCGCTTGAAGGTATTTGTTGCTCTTGACATTTGGCAACCCATTGTGTGCACATTTCGTCGCGATACTCCGTCGAAAAGGCACCCAGATAGGCGACACAAGCCGCTGAGACCAACACATCACCCGGTACACATTGCAGATCTTGTGTTAACGTCTGCCAAGTGTAGAAGTGTGCCGATGTGAATAATAAAAACTTTTTAGTGTAATACCAAATGATAATTACCTTCACAGTTTCTTTCCAACGTATCTCCTCTTCAGATAACGCCGACGTTAGACGTCCGGCGCGGTTGATGCGCCCATAAGTCAAGTCGACAGCATCTTGTATAGTTTTGAATTCACGATTTTTCTCCTCCAAGTCTTCTTGTAGCGCTTGTATTTTAGCTTCAACAGCAGCTAATTCCT